CGGATGGAAAGCAGGTGCACAGTGTTTTTCGTGAATTTTTGGAAGACCCTTAAATGCATGAATTTAAAAGATATATTTTTGGGCCCTATGCAGTAGCCTAGTTGCTAAAGTTTTTGCCATGCATGCACCAGGAATCCATATGGGCACCGATTTGTGTCCTGACAGCACCGCTTCCCATCCAGCTCCCTGCTTGTGGCCTGGGAAAGCAGTCGAGGACGGCCCAAAGCCTTAGGACCCTGCACCCATGTGGGAGACCCAGAGGAGGCTCTTGGCTTCTGGCTCAAGTTTGGCTCCACTCCAACTGTTGCAGCCACTTGGGGCATGAATCAGTGGATGGAAGATCTTCCTCTCTGTATATCTGATTTTGCAATACATAAAAATAGGTAAATCTTTAACAAATTGTTTTTGTTCTACTTTAAACGGATCTTTTACCTCTACCTTCCAATATGAGGGGACCAGGAAGCTAAAGGGTTAAAACAGGCTGGGTCAGGAGATCTGGGGCTGACGGGGAAGCAGGCGCTAGAGTCACAGCCAGTGTTCAGCCCACAGGAGCGGCAGGGTCTGGGATGTCAGAAGCAGGGGACAGCGGCTTTGGCCGGTCCCCAAAGGGTCTGGCCCAACTGGGAGGGAGACACCAAAGCAGAGACAGGGCCATGGCTCTGAGCGTCCAGAGTTCCTTGCCACCAAAGCATACAACATTGCTTTCGGAGCGCCCACTACAATGCTGGAATTGGACGAGTAGTGACTCCACACAAAGAAAGGGTGGGAGCCCAGCCCAGAGCCAGAAGGGGTACAAAGCGAACAGGTGCAGAGGCAGAGCCCCACAGAGACCTCAGGGGACAGCAGCCTGCCTCAATGGGCAGGATCTTAGATCTCCAGAGTTCTCACCAGTGCTCTGCCATCAGGGTACTTGCCACTCCCAGCGTCTCCTCCCGCACCTGCTCCTGCACCAGTCCCTGTGGGATGCACCTGTTGCCTTCTACTCCTCTTAAAGACCAAGGTCACCTGCTACTCCCAATCCACAGTTTGTAGAATAAAGTCCTTGAAGGAACCAGGCGGCCAGGGCTCCACCTTCCCGTCTGGCCACAGCGCATCCCTTCCAATGGCATTCCACGGCTCCCAGGCGATGTTCCCCACGCCTCATGCATTCCCTTCACGGGTGACCCCTAGGCTCACTCTCTTTGTCAAGTGGAGAATCAGTCAGTGAGTGAGGAATGAATGATGGAGAAATCTCCATCCTGGGATAACAAAACCCACCAGGACAGAGACCCCCATGCGCCAGGCCTGATACAGTGACAGACTCCCAGATATGGCCCGTAAACACTCAATGTTGATAGAAAAGACAGCAACAGCGGGGCTGGCATCGGGAGTGTAGCACGGAGACTCATTTGGCTCCAAGTTTCGATGCTGAAGATTCCACTTTCATTCAAATAAATGTCACTCATTGGAGCCAGCTCTGGCTGTGGCTTGGCAAAGAAAGGACATCTTGCCCTCGGTCACCAGCGCCAAGAAGTATGCATTCCCCAGCCATCCATGGCCTTCCAGGTGGGCAGTGGGAATCTGAGACCCAGACCACCAGCCTAGGTAGGCAGCTGTGTTTGCTGTCCTCAGCCCCTAGCCTCTGCTTTCCCTCTGACCTCCCCAAATTTGACCCTGGAGCCGAGGAGGACTTGGGGCTATTTCCTAGTCTCAGTCCATTGGGACACAGCCTCACCCTGTCTGTCGGTGGCCTAGAGTAGCATTTCCACATTTTGAACAAGTCTAGCAGGTGCAGAGCAAAAGCACCGGATCACAAATGACAGGTTATTCTGCCCAGGGTAAAAAGTCACCTTTTTTTTTTTTCTTTTTTCACGGCCAATTTTGTAAGTCTCCTCTTCTCCCACAGTGACTTATGATGGAAGGGTCATGACAACATCCCTCCGCCGGTGAGGAATGAAGCCGCAGTCGCCTGGTGGCCTGAGCCCGGGCAGTTTGCCGTGTCTTTTGGGCAACCTCTTCCCAGGAGGGAGGGAACACAGCTGCTCTGAAGTCAGATGAGTCCTGGCAGTGACTCCAAAAACAGCACCAGAGCGGCCTCCTGTCACCACACAGACTGCCCGCGGGCAGCAAGCGTCCTGAGCGAGGCTCTGGAACACTGAGGACTCGATGGAGAGAGAGCTTCCAAAAACACATGGAGAAAGCGGAGAGACGAACTGACACGGGAGCAAGCAAACGCACAGCTCTGTCATGACATGCGTTTAACATGAACCAAAATCTCTCACCCAGCCGAACGTCACCGTCAGCTTTTGATTTGCTCTATTTGTGGCTGGGCCATGGCAGGGTCACCTGGCTGTCCTCAGGCCGACACCATCTCCATCTCCTTTTACATAACTCGCTACCTTCCATGAGTGCAGAGGCTGGTCACTGGTGCCACGCGGAGTTTTCTGACTCTAACTGGGGCGCCATAAATCTCCCTTTACTTTCCTGCCAGCAGGTCCTCCTTCAGTCATGTTTCTGCTACGTGGTTGCCACGCACAGGTCAGGCAGGGAAATAAGATTTTTCCAAGCCAAAAGCAATGGATGCCGCTAAGACAAGGATTTCAGACTCCAGGCCACACATCAGGGGGTCAGCCAGGGCCCGCATCTCCCCATCCCTGTCCACCAGCACCACAGCGCCTACTGCAGGTTTCTCCCATCAGCCGCACCTGTCAAGAAGGATAAAAACCCCAAGCAACCACCTTCCTCTCTTCCATCCCTGAAACCACAAAAAGCCGATCAGCAGCCGCTGGCACCAACTCCCAGCGAAACGCAAGGAAGCAGCCTGCGTGACGTCTGCAATGAGGAGAATCTGACTTTCCTCCTTCTAAACGCGTTGAAGGCAAAATCAGAGATGAGCCCTCCAGGCACATTTTCCTCCACCACCACACAGCACAAAAAAGAAAAGTAGCAGCCGAACTTTCCGAGACTTATTAGCTTACATAAACAGAGATTTGAATAAAGGCCTTAAAAATGAAATCCCCCTGATACTCTCTAATCAGTAAAGGTTCAGTATGGAAACACAGCAAATGCACATGAAATTTCCCAAGTGATGTGCTGGTGACAAGAGGGGCAAGGCATCTCGGGGAGCAGCAGGCTGCGTTCCCAGGCAACTTCCTCCGACCCCAGTCCTGCATCCTTCACCTAGCCGGGAGGGTGAGTTCAGGTCGCCCTTCCCGCCAGCCAGAGCCGGAGGGGGCGCCAGGAGAGGTTGTTTTGCAGTCTCAAGCAATTTACAAATGAGCACCTCCCCTGCCCACTGGCTGATGGATGTCTATAAATAATTAATCCTTGACCTTGCTTTGAGAAAGCCCTGACTTTTTAATTTGGGGTCTTTTTTTAAAAAAAAAAAAATCAATACCCGGGGAACATAATTCACTCTTGCAGAGTCTGATGGCAGAAAATAAATAAACAAGTCAGCCCAATCCTGCATCCTGGAGCAACCGGGCCAGCATGGGGTCAGACAGGAGGTTTCTCTGGGCTCAAATGTTTATCGGATTATTGACGGCCCTATGGAGTCTCTTCGGGGTCTGATTTTATTCCTCCCTGGGTCACTTCCATGGCTCTCCAGGGACCCCCAGGCCCTGTCCCACCATAGATGGGGGGAAGAGTATCTCCCACCAGGACCAGTGTCACTCCTTCCTGCTGCCTGGCTGGCAGAAGACAGGTGTGACAACTTGAGAAGTTTTAAAGAGAGTTCTGCTACTTCGGCTCCAGACTTTGCTCCAGCCTAAGGAAGGACTTGAGAAAGTCTTCATCACCCATGCGGAAGTGAGGTTATCCAGAAAGTGGATTGGTAGTGCATCTTGTGATTGCTCTACAGCATGGAGAAGAAGCAATGGGCCCCCTTACCCTTCTTCTCTGGACTCTTGCCGCATCTCTCCGCAGTCATCCGCCTCCCCTACGTGTGGTCATGCCCAGTCAGATCATGCCCTGACAGGGAGAGGGGGCCCGAGATGCCCGTTCCCCAGTGCAGGGCGGATCACGGCTCAGGGACGCGGGATCCACTGACGGCCGAGATGTCTGCGGGACCGAGAGGCTCAGCTTGGGGTCTGATTTCTCCGTGAGATCCGGCAGCGGGTGCTAGTGCCCACAGTCCAGGGCGCTGTGCCGCAGCTGCGCCAGGTCCCGGGGGGGGGGGGCGTCGCGGAGCCTGGAGACAGGATACCCGGTCAAAGTTAGGGGCGGAGATTAGTCCCGCTCCAGAGAAGGTTCAAAGGTCACCTACAGACCCCACAGGCAAGGCTTGCACAGCCAAAAAGCCCCTCAGGGCCTCCAGGGAGGCCGGGCCGACACCCAGAAGCAGCCGCCGCCGCCACCACTGCCGCCAGAGCTCGGCTCGGTCCCGCTACAAAGCGATGTGCCCTTTTCAGCCCATCAGAGCCGCACTCCGGGACACAGACACACAGACACCTTCGCAAGATCCCTGACGCACACACGCTCGCCGGGTGCACACAACAGGCCGGTGCCCTGGTGAGTCGAGGGATGGGAAAGCGCACGGGGCGGCGCGGGGTAACTCCGGTCTCGGGGTGCGGCGCTGAGCCGCCTCTAACTTGGCCCCTCGCCCCTGCCTGCCGCTTCCTGCTCCCGATCTCAATTCCCAGCGCGCGGGAAAGCCCAGGTGCCCGTGGCGCTCCTGCCCGGCGCACTCGGCACCCAAGAGCCGGGAAGAGGAGCTGGAGTCTGCCGGAACCCGGCGAACCCTTGGGGTGACAGCTCAAAGCCAGGCGGCAGCAAGTAAAATCCGACGAACGAAAAGTCCAATTAAAGTTCCCGCTATTGAAATCGGTCCCCAAAGTACCGCCAGACTGGAGCCCCGTGAGCCCTACCTCCGCCCGAGGCTTCGGATTCATATCGGCGTGGAGCCGCGGGATGGGCGCGCGCTGCGGTCCCGGACCAGCCCGGGAACCTTGGGGGGAGTCCCTCGGGGCGGGGAGCGTTCCTAGGACGGAACACAGGGGTGGGGCGGCGGCACCGCCACTTACCTGGCGCTGCCGATGCTCTCGAGGCCGCGAGCGCCTTTAGTCCGGGCGCGGTTCTCCACAGCGAAGCCTCGGCTCGGGGCGCCGGGCGGCTGGCAGCACCTCCTCCCCAGCTCGGGCCCGGTGCCGCCCTGGCGCGCGGAACCCAACCCGGTGCCCTGGGTGGGCGAGCGGCCGGGGTTGGCGCGCACAGGAGAGGGAGACGAAGAGGGAGCGGCGGCGCCTTTTTCCTCTGCCCCAGGGTCGGGTCGGTCCCTGCCTCCGCTGCCACTGCCGAGTCCTCGTCTCCTCCCCGCAGCACGGCCTGATCCGGCTTGCGAGCCGGGAAAGCTCCCAGCGAAGTGAGAGCGAAGCCTCCGGCGAGGCTGGAAATAGCGCCGCGCCCGCCCGGCGCCCCGCCTCCGGTCCGGGCCCCGCCCCGCGGTGGTGGCGAGGACGGCCGTGGCCGTGCCAGGAGGGGATCACTCCTGGGGATCGCTCGTCCCTCCTGGGAGCCCACAGACCACCGCGCCCACGCGCACTCTGCGGTTTGTGCGGCCCCACTGGCCGCGCGCTCGGAAAGAGCCTCTGCGGGGCGCGGTTGGATGGCTGTGGGGGTGGTCGTGCTGCGGGCTGCGCCAAGCTTCCCTGTTCGGGAGAACTGGACTCCTGCCGGCCGCTTGGCGCCAGACCGTGGCCAGGTTCGCGCCCCGTGCTCACCCTGCAAATGACAAAGTGGCGCGTTCACGGGCCGGGACCTCGAGTTGCGCAGGGGTGCCCGCCAAGGGGGTCTACACTACAGGCCCATGGGGCTGGAGGAAGGCGGGGGATTGATCCCAGGAAGATCCCGGCCGTCCCTGAGCTAGAGGCTCACATGGAATTAAATCAAGTCCTTGGGCAGCCTCAGTCCCGGGTGCCTGCACCATCTCCATATTCCAGGGACTCTGGGCCTGCGCCCCCATGACCCTGGGGCACCCCCTTGACCTCCCAGTCGCTCCTAGGGAGGAGTGGGCTAGCCTTGATCTCTGAGTCAGCCCCGACCTGCAGGGGGTAAGCTGGCGTGGGAGGAAGAGGCCTGTAGGCAAGCACTGTAGCAGATGGTGTAGTCACCTGTCAGGTTCTGGGGTGCGGGCGTATCCTGGACCTTCAAGGTCTGCAGAACAGCCTGCGGTAAAGTCGTTGGACAGATATTCGCCTTCCTGCTCTGGCTATGTCTGCTGGTTGGGTCACTTACCTCCAGATTGAGATAGCATGGGGCTTGGGGAGGTCTTGGAGCCCTTGAGTAGCCAGAGAAGAGTGGGGGCCTACCTCGGCTGGCAGGAAACAGAGCCACTCCTGGGGACATTTTTGGGGAATCTGAGAAGTTCCATCTGAGCTGAGAAGCTGAGCCGAAACACACTAACACTCCCCAAATCTTCCTTTCGTTCTAACAACACCAACAGAGGAGTTAGGTTCCCATTTCACAGACAGAGGTGTGCATGTGGAGAAGCGCGTGTGTGTGTGTGTGTGTGTGTGTGTGTGTGGCTGCACTCTCCCTGCTCCAGCTCAATTGGGTGCAGACTGGACGAGCTGACTGCCAGGGAGCAGGACAGAAGCATCGGGAAGAACAGGAGCCAAGTGGGAGGAAAGGAGATAGAAACAGAAGCGGAGGGTACAATGAGCGGAAGGCTGTGTGCACAGCCCACCCAGAGTGTCCTGAGCTTGTCCTTGAACCTGTGGCCCCTTTGCTGTCGTCGCACCTTCAGCCCATTCTCCCTAGCTGGGCACATGGCCATAGCCGGGCAGGGCAGCCGTGAGGAGGTCCTTGTGTGTGGTTGGGCCTGGAGCAACAGCTTTGGCTGCAGAGGCCCTGCAGTCAAGAGATCTCTGACACAGGCATGGTCTGGAGGGCAAATGTGCACAGTAGCACATGCATGCACACACACAGAGGGCCTTCCAGGGAAATAGGAGCTCCCATCCACAGGGGCCAGCCTCAAAGCTGAGTGACCCCGGGTAGCGAGTCTCTTCCATGCAACGAGTCTACACAGACTCAGTTTCCATGTCCAGTCAATGCCCAGTCAATGCCCCCGCCCCACCCACACGCTGTGTGTGGGGATCCTCTTGGGAAGGATGGTTTTTCCATTAGCTTTTCCAACTGTACTTATTAGCACTTATTTGCATCTAATATCCAGGCCGACACCGTGAGGAATCAACAAGGCTGCATTCCTTTGACAGGCTTCGTGTTTTCTATTTCTCATTCGCACTTCCTTCTGGTCTTGAGAGAGCCTCCAGGAAGCCCCTGGAGGGGGGCCCGAGGCCCCTGGCACCTGCCTGGGCAGCGAGTTTCCCTCCCGAGATTTGCCAAGGGCTGCTGTGCCCTTTTTTGAAAGTCAGGCTCAGCCTCTGCAGTGAGGGAGGAGGAGGGAACGCTGCAAATCCCGGCAGGAAGCCTGCGCGGTCCTTGATCTGTGTGTCTACACCCAAAGATTAGCCACGAATTTGTCCCTTTGCATCCCAAATAAGGTAAAAAAAAAAAAAAAAGATGTTTTCCTCAACAGCCTCCTCGAGAGTCCCAGGGCAATCGAGGCACTACAGAGATTGGGGGGTGTTTGTAGCTGTGGGGGTGCAAAAGATGAGAAGTTGAGCTCAGCTCTGGGTGGAGGCCAACCCCTCCCTCCACCAGCTCTGAAGTCCCCTCCCCGCTTCCCACTGCCATTCCTACCCACCTTTGGGCTGCAGGTGGAAGACAGTGGGGAGGTCTGGGCGTGTTGGAAACAGACTCGCCCGTGTGTCTCCTCCTCCCATGAGAAGACTCAAAGCTCTCTCCTTGGAGCGGGGCAGGGGCCATCCAGGACAGCTCAGGCACTTTGGTTCCAGTGGGAGAAAAAGGAATGGTCCAGGGGAAGTCTCTCAGGAGCCAGTGAAGGTGTGTTCAGTGTGTCTCCTTGTCTCTGTCCTCATCCCCAGCACATACCACCCCCTGCCCCTATCTGCGTTCTCCCCTGAAAATATGGCTGCTTTCCCCAGCTGCCTCTGTGGGGGCCCGGGGGTGGGCTCATGGTCATAAATTGAGCTTCATGAGCCTGGTCTTCCCCCACCTCGGTAGCAGCGTGGAGATTGGGGCCCAGGAACCTGAGACCCCTCTTCCAGGTGGACCCCTCACTGCAGAGGTTTCTCACCAGGAGCGCATTCCTCAGCTACCTTATGGGATGGAGTCTCCATCCCAGTCCTTCTCCACTCCCTGTCATCTTTCACCTTTCCTGGGATTCCCAGGAGCTGGAGTCACTTTGCTTCTTGCTCTGTGGGGTCACCAGGAATTTTCTGATTGGCAGGGTGCCCACGTGAAAGCCCCACGTGTTAATAACTCTACTGGGGGTTCTGGACACCCCACCCCCTCAACACCTGCTGTAGTTTCTCTGGGCATAGGAATAAGTGCCTCTTGAATAGCAGGCTAAGGTGGCCGCAGGGACAGTCCTGCAGATAAGACTTGCAGAACAAGTAGGGGCTTGTAGGTGGTGGCCATGGAAGGGGTAGTCTGTAATAGAATTGGCTGTGATTAACCTGGGCAGCAAGGAAGGGAGTTCTTGAAAGACCAAGGCAGAATCTGCAGATTCTCCCAGCGGGCACAGGGAGGAAACCAGGAACTGGGGCGGAGGGCAGCCTCTGGGCCTGCAGGAGGAGAAGCCCCCTTGTAGCTGTCGGACTACAGCCATGGTGGCCTTGGCAACTCCTCCGCCCCTCCTCCCGGCCTGAGGTGAGCAGAGGGGCTTCACTGATTTCAGGGCCAGGACAGGGTCATGGCCAAGGCCAAGTCTATCGTGAAAGCTGGGCTTAGAGCCAGCCTGAGGCTTCTCTGCTGAGATCTTGCCAAGCTTCAGTACATTGTGATGCTTCTTAATTAAAAAGAAAGAAGGAGAAAACCACCAGTGGACTGTCTGTGTCCAATCATTCCCCCATTCTCCTGAAGCCTGGATGCTCTGGTGGCCTGGCAGGGAGCCTTGTTAAGGACTGCTGGCGGTGCTAAGGTGGTGGTGGTGGTGGGAGAAGGTGCTGTCTGAGGGGCCGGCTAACTGCATGAGGGGTTTCATGACCTGAATGAAAGTGCTCAAGATTTTCCTTCTAGCCTTGAGGTGCACAGTTTAGAATTCTTCAATATTTAGATGTCACAATTTTGTTAATGCTATTTAACACGGGCCAGATGCATCCGGCATTCCTATCACGTAGTAGTGTTAGGATGGAGTTTACTTCTTCACTGTCAGTCAAAGGCAGTGAGAACAGGCTTTCTGGGGGAATATCTCCCCTACCTTGTGTAGTAAATGGATTTTGACGTCTCTGAACACTGGAGTATTTCTGAGCATCCATCTGCATCCAGATATGAATGAGCTCATTATAAATAGTTCTCTCCACTCAATCAAGCTGGTGTGGCTGTCGCTCTTCTTTGCCTATAGGTTAGTCATTAACTGGGGTGACTACTGAAGCAAGTGGTGTACATAAATGACTCTTTGGGGTGAGCTGCTGTTGAGTGCAGTGGCGAAGACACCACTTGGCATGCTGACTTTCCATTGTGCAGTACCTGTGTGCGGGTCCCCCTTCTGCTGTGAGGTCCAGCTTTTCTGCCAGTGCCTGCGCTGGGTAGCTGCAATTGATAGTTTAAGTACTTGGGTGCTTGCCACTGCTGGGGAAAACTCAAAATGCATTCTGGCTCTCAATCCGGTTAGCTCCAACCTTGGCTGTTACGGACAACTGGAGGAATAAACTAGCAGATGGAAGGTCTCTTTCTGCCTCTCTTTTTCTCTCCCCCACCCTACCCTGCCTTTCAAATGAATAAAATAAATGCACTTAGTTTTAAGTGCTCCCCATTTGGGAAAACTCACTTGTTCTCTAAGAATCCCTCTGACTTAGTCTACAGTGGTTGGACTCAGCCCCCTTAATGTACCTGCTGGTGGTGTCCCAAGCCACAATGACCACAGCTCAGCTTCTTCCAGCTCTGTGATCTGAGAGGGGAATTGTGGGGCCTCTAGGGTGGGATCCCCGCCTCCGAAAATCATCAACCTACAATGTGTTTTCAAAGCTCCCCCGTTCTCCTTAGGGCCTTTCCATTACCCATTACCGTAGAAGAATGGGACTTAAGCATCTTCCAAATGCCTGAGACAGCTAA